AAATTGCAGGAAAATGAAAGACAAAGAGTATCATGTGGCAAATTTTGCAACTTTCGTCTCCAAAAACTCTTATTCCCCCCCCCCCCCAAAATGGACCTAATTGTAACTGTAAAACCTAATTGTAACTGTAATCCCAGCGAAATAAAGTCAATGTTTCTTGTCATGTTTCTCGCAAGGAATCGCTGAAACTTTAACTGCCGTTTTAGTTGTATTTTATATAGACGTTAGCTTGCTTATTATTCGTGTCGTGATTTTGTACAATATACAATGTTACGAAATAAGAGAACGTTCTATTAAGATTGACATTTTTTAAGGCGTGTCACCTGAATGTGATTTTCATTAAGCACTGCGACAAAAATAGATTCATATTATACGAGAAAGGATATCAATCGAGACAAAAGGTAAAAGCGGGCTGATCTTTAGTCAAAAGAATTGTGTGAGCTAGAGAGGGTTTTGTTGTTCTAATCAAATCAGTTTAAGACAGAACATTTTCTAAGACCCACCCACAGTGTTTATTAAACATGAAGATCGATAAACGACCGTTGAGATATCATACTCAAGATTTTGGATTAAACGTTGCGCGATCAAGCTTTTTTCAATTAAGCTCAAACTTATTGCATCTAGAATTCGTGACGGTCGAGCGAAGATGGATCCATTTTTTCCCAAAAGCAGTTTTTAAAAAAGGAATATTATAAGCGCAATGTAGAGAATTATGCTATGAAACCAACCTTTCTCTCGCGGCTGCAGTACTTAGTGCAACTGTAAACCGGTAGTCACGCATATGAGGCGATCGAAGTTTTCTCAAGATAACCCACGAGTTTATAGAATTTTTTGTGCTTACTGATGGTTTCTCATGCTTATAAACTTAGAAGAATTCAAAGCATCCTAGCTTGTTGCGTTATCCCTAGTGAGTAGTATGAACATGAATAGTGGTAAAAAAGAACCGATACCATTATTTAACCTGTAAATCTATACGAACGGGAACGGTCCATATAAACTTAGAACGGTTTAGTATAATCCACAGGTGTTTCATCAACAGTTTGTTGCTAGCAAGGTATAGACATGAGTGATCAAATTACAGAGCTTCTACAGGAAAGATTTGTGTGCAGCCTCATACTTCAATATGCACATAGTTTTTGGATAAACAAAACAATGGCAAACCGATAGATTACCTTTTTGACTACAGCTTTGTTTTAGAAGAGTACGAGGTTGTGCGGAATTCTCCCTATTTTGCTACACATTAATTTTAAGCTTTTCTTCACGGAAATAATTTCTCTCGAAAAGTATTCTGGCATAGATTTGACATTTACTGTCTTAATATATACTGTATAAAATAAATGTTATTTAATTGACCTTACAGGAAGTCCGTTTTTCTGCTTTGCCACAAATGGAGTGGAAAACTTCTTTTTGATTTACTAATCTATTATATAAGTTTTTTTTACACAGTACTTTCTAGCACTTAGGTTTGACTTTGTTACTGTAATAAGCTTTTGTTTGATTAACTCGCCTGATACATCTCACTTTCACTGTCTTGCAATTGTTGGTGGTAGACTTAATCCATTTAGCCAAATCTTCTCATATATAATCTGAGCAGAAAAGTCTGCAACAATCTTGGTATGACATTATGGCGCGCACGTTTCGCAAATTCGTATGACAACGGCTCTTAAATAACTTAAAGAAAAATTCTTAAGGGAAGCTTGTGATAAAGACGGAAACTTGGTTTCAACGACAGGACGAACTGACAAGCTTGAGTCAATTAAAATAACTTTCACGCGCAAAGCAACTTATGAACGGGAACATCGCACGCGTCACGTGGCATCCCAGGTGCAATGCAAAAAGTAAGCACTCCCCATCCAAGCAAGGCTCAGATGCCCCACCCCCCCTGGGAACGGATGACGGTCAAATTCCCCGTGGGTTGCCCGAGGGGATGTTGAAGCTTTGAATCGATCGGTGCATAAGATCCTCAGCAGAGTATTTCGAAAATTAACTTGAAGGGACCTTAGCGCCACTTTTTCAACTTGTTGTGACCCTGTTACCTAAGAAAGTTCAATCTTTGTTTCAAAATTTGCAAGTCATATCATCAAAGTCACGTGGGCGGAAAAAAACTAATGTAGGTCCTGATCTACTGGTTACTCCTAAGGAGAGATAATACCTAGCAATAGTGTTTTTTTTAAAGTGGACGTTGCCTAAGGTTTCACTATAAAACAGTTTGTGACTAGTTATATAGATCTATGTTTTTAAATGTTTCTAAGATGTTATTAAATAAATCTTCGATAGTCATCATTTTCGTAATAACATTGTACAAAACATCATCCTTTTATTGTTACAGAAAACATCACTTTAGCATATTTAGTATTTTAGTTGTATTCTTAACTTTGTTCACTTCATATTAAAACACAGTGGTTTTACAGAACACATGTTTGAGCGTCCTTTTATGTGTCTGTGACCGTACAATGGAATCTCTTTGTCTTTCTCTTCAATCTGATTTAAATCTTTCGGTCCAAGCGGTAATTCGTGGAAGGAATATTTTGCACAGGTATGTTCATGTGGAAGTGCCTGCAGCCTTGCTTGATTTAAGCCCACATTTGGAGTAGAAAGGGCGTCGCAAGGTTTCTTCTCGAGGTGTGATTTCGAAACCTTTCAAATCAAACCTGTAGACCCATTGATAGCATGCGTGGCTTGAGGGTTTTTTTTTCTGATTACCTTGTTTTTTTTGTTTTTTTTTTAGGGTTTGATGAAAGCCGAAAACTTCAGTTGGAAGTTTGGAGGAACCACGTATTTTTCGCCCAAGCCCCTTGCGGCCCTTAGTTCACTCTTCTAGATAAAAACGACATCGTTGGATTGAAAGAAGAAAGACCATTTTGCTTCAGAAATTTTTGTAAACTATAGTGCCTTTTACAATGATCGCTTTTTTATTCTAAGTAAGCTCTGTAAGTACGCGGTTGCGCACGTGCAAACAGGAAAGGGGAAACCTGTTCGAATTCCGTCGAAGCGTGAATTTCTTTCAGGCTTTTTTCACCAATTGCTTAAAAAGGAACGCATCAACGAGGATCACTGCGTTACTTTACTTTTATCCTCAAGTCAAATGAAATTTGTTTCAGTTAGAATTGTAAAATATTTAAGCGCGGTCCTTGTTTGAAAACATAGACTATTTCAAAGACATGAAGAAAAAAAACAAAAAAAACCAACACTTATCCCATAAAATGCTGGAAATCACCTTTCTGAGGACCTGAATATTAAAATTTTCTAGGGGGAACGCCCTACTGTCCTCCAAGGATGGTCTACCTTCGGCGAACATTTATCCGAACTCTCACTGAGTCTTGGACTACCCTCAAATAAAAAAATTGTGTATAGTTTTCTCTGATTAAATTTGTAATTCATGAAAATCATTATCAGGGTACTGTGATGACATTTTAATTCTCAGTTTCGATCAGGTACCACTTTGGAGAGGGTTCATTTACATCTAAGGCATATGTTCCAAAAATTTACCGCGTTCTTTTTTTTAATATGATAATTAATATTATTGATGGGGTTGTGTCTCATGGGATCGATATACAAATAATGATAAACGTTATTCCGCAGCCTTGGCGACGTTGACGATCAAGTAATTTTCGTGGAGCTGGATTTGCAATCCGTACATACAAACAGAGCAGCGCACAGGCGGCCCAAGCTCCAGCTGTGAGATGATCATCTTGTGCAATAACAGTCATGGCGGAATTATAAGAGTTTGTATGGGCATATTTACGACCGCTCTAAGGAATAAAAAATACGTCAAATTCTCAAAAAAAAAATACCTCACCTTACTTCCACAGTGTGTCGCTTGTTATCTGACCGCTTACATTTTAATTCTCAGTTTCGATCAGGTACCACTTTGGAGAGGGTTTATTTTCATCTAAGGCATATGTTCCAAAAGTTTACCGCGTTTTTTTTTAATATGATAATTATTATTATTGATGGCGCTGTGTCTCATGGGATCGATACAGCTATTTCAATTTACGTTGTCGGATCAAAGCCTCAAGCCTACAAGACAAGACCGAAGGGGAATATGGGATCTTAATGAATAATTATCAGCAAAATTAACAATGCCTCGTCCATACAGCGAAGATCTCCGATGTCCATGTCCATCTCGCGCCGACAACCCCGAAAGCCTAAAATTAATTCTAATCTACCCATACCGCCTTTCGGTCTTGTCCCGTACCCTTGAAGCTTTGATCCGACAACGTAAATTAAAATAGCTGTACACAAATAATAATAAACGTCATTCCGCAGCCTTGGCGACGCTGACGATCAAGTAATTTTCGTGGAGCTGGATTTGCAATCTAATTCGCGAACTTTTTACTTCTAAGGTAAGTAGTTTACTAGCCTTGCAACGTATTCACGATAGTCGTGTCTTTTAATTGCCGCTTTCACTCTGTTGATTGTGTTAGTCAGAGGAATGAACAAGTGTGAATTAATCCAGTTACACTTCGAAGAGTTGTTCGGCAACAGTAAGGATAACAAACAGCAAAAATTCGGTTTGAGGTAGAAGAAAAGCTAAAACTAATTCAGTTCAACCTTTTAAGTTGAAATCTGTTCCCCAAATCTCACTACGCAGCACTATCGCTAATTTATGCTGTGAATTTTACTTCTACGTTTGAAAATTGCATCCGTAGATCAAGTATTTTCTTGGAGCGGGATTTGCTATCCATATATGCGAACTCTTTACTTTTGCGTGAGGTAAGTAGTTTACTAGTCTAGTAACGTATCCACGGTAGGCATGTCTTTTAATTTCCGCCTTCACTTTGTTGACTGTGCTAGTCGATGGAATGATCAAGAATGAGTTAATTCAGTTACGCTTCGACGAATTGTTCGACAACAATTAACATAACAAACAGGAACAATTTGGTTTGATAAGTTTTATTGGCAAAAGAAAGGCTAAAAGCAATTCAGTTCAACCTTTTAAGTTTAAATCTGTCGCCCAATTCTCATTACGCGGCATTATCGATACTTTACACTGTGACTTTTACTTCCGCCTTAGGAATTGCATCCTTAGATATACTCCTGTGGTAAAATGTAATCCACACACTAATAATAACTTAGGCCCCTGCTACTGCAGAGGAATCAAACAAGATTGCGGGTATCAAACAGAAGGAGATAAATTCTCGATATTTTAATTGCACTTCACGTGAGTTTAAGTGTGTCTCTACGTTTCCTGGGTCGTAAAGCATTCATATATTCATGCTATTGTTTAGGTTCATTTCCGAATCAGTGGGGTTCCAGTCGAATTTCTGTCGAAAATGTAAGACTGCTTTAGAAATCGGAACCCCCTTTGATAAACATGTGAC